ATTACAACATTAAAAAAAAATTTTTCTTTTAAATTGTGGTTAAATATACATAACGGGGGCTTCCCTGGTGGCGCAGTGCTTGAGAGTCCGCCTGCCGATGCAGGAGACGCGGGTTCGTGCCCCGTTTCGGGAAGATCCCACATGCCGCGGAGCGGCTGGGCCCGTGAGCCATGGCCACTGAGCCTGCGCGTCCGGAGCCTGTGCTCCGCAAATGGGAGAGGCCACAACAGTGAGAGGCCCGCATAACGCAAGGAAAAAAAAAAATATATATATATACATAACGGAATTTACCGTTTTAACCTTTTTTTTTTTTTAAGTGTACAATTCAGTAGCATTAAGTTCATTCACATTGTTGTGAGGCCCATACTTTTGACAAAGTAGTTTAAACATGGAAATGCTGTGTGGGCAGATTTTTAAGGAGTTGAATTTGAGGACTGCATTACAAAATAAAAATCTTGAGATCTTGTTAAATAAATACAAGGCGTTGGTTTGCCTTCTTAGTTTAGTCTTTTCAAAAATCAAAGGGGGACTACTTTGAGATTTTTGACCCAGACTGTCTTATGGAGAGCTGTAACTTGTAGGATTTTTCATGATAAAGAATTACAGCTAGAAGAATTACAACTGTATTTTTTTAAGACTTAATAGCTGGAATGTCTTCCTTCAGTGGTGAAATTGCTGTGGTGGGGGTGACTTGTTTTCTTGAATCCCATCATTTCTTGCTGTTAAATGCTTTCTGCCAAATCAAGATTTTTAAAAATTCCTTTGTCTTGGTATTAGAATGTTTTCTGCTTGCATGTGTACCTAGTTAAAAAAATAATTCAAAACATTTTTCCAGTTCAAATATACTGTCAAGCCAGAGGAATTCTTAGAGATGTTTCTGTTGTGCTACATATTTTATTAGGGGTATTAAACTGAATATTGTGTATTGGAAGATTATTTTTGGAGCATTATTTGTCCTTTTACGCTGAGGTATAATATTAATGTGTAGTTGAAAATAATTGATTGGCAGTTTATTCACGTTGAACCTGTAGGCTAGCCATTGGTTTGCAGCTGCAGCCAATATATAACCAGTTAGTTGTTTGCATTTCTGCTTCTCGGATGTAGTAAGTGCAAACTCCTGCTATGGGAGAGTTTGCTAGGTACTGCCTCCTTTTATCAGTGAAGGTCTTTGCCCAAGGGCCCTACATTTACTATTGCTTTATTGGGCATGCCAGTGCCTTTTTCCCCTCATCAGTCTGTATCTGCTCTGACCAGTGTGATAACCATTAGCTGTGTGTGACCATTGTGCAGTTGAACTGTACACAGTTCTGAGTTGAAATGTGCTGTAATATAAAATAAGCATTGGATTTCCAGGGATGTTAAAAACATGTCAGTTACCTGTGGGAACTGATGACATTTGGATTTGGTTAAGTAAGATACTTAATTAAAATTAGTTTCACCTTTCAAGTTCATATGATTACTAGAAAATTTTAAATTACATATGTGGCTTGCACAGTGTTTCTGTTGGATGGTGCTGGTCTACACTATTCTTTGATTTTTGTGTCTGGAGCATTTCTTCAGCTTCTTTCCGCACTGGCATTTGTCCTATTTCAAAGTATTAGTATATGTAAAAGAAGTTAAGTGATGGGTGGGTGTATAATTTTAAATAGTAACAGCACAATTGTTATTACTAAAGGAAACATACAGAAAAAGATGGTTGCAGCAATTTGATTTTCTTTTATTTCTGCTCAATGTGTTGATGACTTAAATTGTTTTAAGGTGGTTATCTGAACTTTTATCATTTTCCTTAGATCTCAAAGTAAAACTGAATTAAAACCTGTTAGGCACTTCGGTTATACAGGATGGAGAAAAATGTGATATACTTAAACTTGTCTTGGGTTAACGCATCAAGAAATACCAACTGGGGAGTTAAGGCAAGAATGAGTGTTAGTCATATAAATCAACAGTAGAGAACCTTTTCAGTTCCGTGCTGCCTATTTGGGTCTTTGCTCTTATTCTCAAAGAAAGTACTCTGAAGAAAGTGGGTTAGGTGGAGGGACTTTTATAGACTGGTTTAGCATTTCTTTAACATTCTTCCCAAGTGAATGCTGTACAGACTTTGAGTATAATTTGTCAAAATGATAAACTGGGTTATGTGGTAACATTATAGATGGATTAATGTCATAAATGTATTAGTTCAGCGTGTATTGGTTTAGTGCGTACTGTGTGCCCGGCTTCAGCTAAGCCTTTGCGATAAAGCAGCGAAGTGGAGGAGACAGTAAATAACAAAACAGGTGATGATAGGCAGGTGAAATAAGGCATGACTGTTTGGATTATCGGATCAAGTAAAGGAAAATTAACTTCTAAAACAGCATGACACAATTGATAATTAACTAATGGTGGTAGTGTTCCCATACAGAGCAAAGGGAAAAAGGAGTTGATTACTTAGTAATCAGGGAGACTCTCAGATCCACATTTAAATTGTTCCTTAGTTTTTTTATTAGTACTCTGTATTTCATGTGACTTAAGAAGCGGCTAGCTTTGGGGGCGGGGGGGAGGAGGTTGTAGGGGGGTACACTTTGGTTCAGAGGATTAAAGCAAAAGAATTGGTCATTACCACCCACGAATGTTAATCTTAGCATGAGTGGATAGCAAATTTATTAAAATGCCCAATGGGTATCTTTTAAAAGAAGAGGTTATTTCTTGATTGGAAAATTAAGACTTTATACAGTTCACCAAAACAAAATTTTTTAAAGTTCGTGGAACTGTCTACCAACTTGAATTGTGTCTTTTGCTGTTATAGATTAACTATCTTTTTGCTGTATTAGTTTCTGCTGTGGTAAGTTTAGCAGTACCTGGTTAAGTGCTATCGGGGGTTGTGATAAAGAAATAAACTTGAATTTGTCTCTCAGAAATCTGAAATATAATTGAAGGAACAAGATACATAAACATGTAAGTAAAGTGCAGAAATGATTTGGTACCAAAAAGCATGATGCCAGCATTGGGAGTTACTGTAATAAATCTGCTGGAATGGTCAAGAAAGGCTTTTTTTGTTGCATTGAAGATGACAAAATGTATTCTTTGTGGAAAGACCCATATACACAAAGACTAGAATTCAGGAACCTCCCAAGAGTTGCGTTTAAGAATTAGGGAGGAAAATGCACCTATCTAGAAGAACTGGAGAGCAGAAGAAGGTAAAGATGTAAAGGTAGAAGAGACACACCTTGAATGGTGGTGGTTAAACGCTGGCTGCAAGTCAGAAACACCTTGGGAGCAGGGTGGGAAAGAAAATACACCAATGCCTAGGACCTAACCCCAGTTAAATTAGAATCTCAAGGTGGGATCCAGGCTTTGATTTCCCCTCCCCACCAAGTCCCAGGTGGGTTGGATTTGCAGCCAGGCTTAAGAACTTCCCATTTACAGTGCTGGAAAAATCACTGAGGATTTTAGACAAGGAGATGAGATGAAAGATTTGACAAATGTAACATTTGATATTTCAAGTTACTGTATAAAGTCATGGAGTGTTAGGTATACCCAATAGCCACAGATCAGCTGTTACTGAGTTTTCATTTTGCATAGGAGAAACTGAAACTCAGGGAGATTAAATAATTTGTTTGTGACATTTTGCTGGTAAGTATCAGTGTGATTAATATTGAGCTCTCCTACTCTGTTTCAGCAGGTCTGACCTCTCACCTTTATAGTCATTATTTCTGATCTTAAAATATACTGTCCACCTCAGCATATCTAAAACCAAATCCGCCTTTTCTTTTCCCCATATAAGTCATTTTAGTTAACAGCACCATTTTAGCTAACATTTGAGGCACTGCAAAATAATAATTTTTTACAGCTAATACAAAGCACGATTCTGTGATTTTATTTATACATATATTTCACTTCTCTTCCCTTCTCATCTTGTTTCTCTTCTATAGGCATTCCTCATCTGTTAATGTCAACAGCTCTAATGAGATGTCTGTTTCCTTCACTAAGTGATCCTTCATAGGATTTCAGGATTTCATACCCTTTCATCAAGAACTAAGGCTCTCTGTTTCCTGTTATATCAAGTTGAAACACTTCATAATCTGGCTCTACGGCATCTGTCACACCATATATCTCATTTCACTTTAACCCAGCCCTCTGTTCTAGCCAGGCTAGCCTATTGATTCCTCTGAAACAGCAAGCCACACTTGCTGTGACAGTCTCATGCAATAAAGCTCCCTTGATGTCAGGCATAGAAAATCCTATACATGGTCTCTGCTCTCAAGGGACTTAGGATTTAGTTGTATACTCTGGCTTGGTTTATGTGATATTTTATGGCTAGAATACTCAGCTGTTTTCTTTTTCTCAAAAATCTGCCCATTTCTCCAAACTAAGCTGAAATATTCTACCTCTTAACTAAAAGCCTTCTCTGACCATGTTGCTTTGATGCACAGACGGTGATGCATAAACAATAAATAGTATTTCTAGAATAGTATGTGATGTAGTAGATACCCAGATATTAGTTGAGCAAATTAATTTTGGACATTTTGTCCTATATTCTAGTTTTTCCTCCATGTATAAATAATTCTTCTCAACAAGGGTGTAAACTCTCTGATGGCAGGAAATTCTTTTATGTTTTCCACAGTACCTAACACAGTGCTAGGTAGTTACAAAACACACTAAATAGAATATTATGTTATGTAACTTCGAATTTATTTGTGGTGGGGGGTGTCAATAAGGACTGAGTAATTTCAGGTTTTGAGTGTACCAGTACCAAAGGAGGTATCCATTAGCACTTGGGAGATTGCTTAAATGACATTGAGTGTGTGTGCTTCCAAGTTCTCTGCCTTGCTTGATTCTAAGTTAATGAAATGAGTTTGTCCCTCTAGCTTCCCTGTCCCTGATTCTTTTATGTAAGTTATACTTAATGTCTTCATTCTTATCTCTAGTATGAAGTGTAACAGAACAGACTTTACCACCTGAAACTGCTGCTTCAAGTTCAGATCAGGCAAGGAACAAACCTCGAAACAACCAACAAGACCAAAGAAGAGTACACTTAAGTTGAAGACACAACACTTGATCTGAAACAAGAAGTTTGTGCCTACTCAACAGCTTTGAAAGAGCACTTCCCAACGCTGCTAGTAGTCTTTGTTTTCTTCAGTGCTGTACTGTGAGATTGCCTGGTGCAGCAGCAGTTGTATTCTTTATTAGCTTGATAGGTCATTTTCTCTCGCACGCGCGCTCTCTTCTTTTCTTTTCTTTTTTTTTTTTTAACACTAGCAACTTTCATCCTTTGAAACGTGTGCTGAAAAAGAAGAATCAGCAAATACTACTGAAAGTGCAATATTTGATTATCACTGCGAGGTAGGTTTATCGTTTCCTATTGGCAAGAATCAGTTTATAATTCTAGATTTCCTAATTATTTGGTTAAATTTAAAATCTTAATCTGTTTGCTTCTAAAGGTATTCTGAAAACAGTTTATATTATCAACTGTTAGTCTGAAAATATCAACACTAGATTATTTTATTTAACTTGTTGTCTTTTGTTAGATGACAATATTTATGCCCAAAACTGGGATTTTCCGCCCCAGATTATATTTATTAATACATGCAGGTCTCTTGATTTATTGGTCTCTTAGAAAGAAAAACTCCCTCTGTACTATTAAGAAGTTAGGATTTCATTTAGGAGTGCCCTTTGTAGTCTGAGGTAACCTTGGGTAAAGAAAGCCTACAGAGAAGGGACATTTGAAGGTGAGTTGTACTTTGTTAAGAGGGAGAAGAGTTTTTGGTAGAGGTATAGAGGTAACAGAATGAGCAGATTTGGGGAGATCTGAAAGCACGTGGTATATGTTGAGTAGTCTATAATGAACGGAGTAGAGAATACAGTTTTGTGGGTCAGAGAGAATAACTGGAAAGGGAGGCTTGCTGGAGGCAGGTTCTACAGGGCCCACTCTACTTGACTTTATTTTTCAGGAAAGTTGTCAGCTGTTTATAAGCAAGGGCTTAATGGATTTTGTAGTTCAAACCTGAGATAGTTTATTGCTTCAGATTTTAAAGTTACATATTCATAAATGTACCTTTGAAAGACAAATGGTGCTACTTTTATGGAATAGGCTGAGGATGGGAAGACCTGTTAGGAGCAATGGATAGAGTGTAAGGAAGATAAAAGCTAGGGTAAAGGCAGAGAAAGAGGTAGACACTAGGTGTTTTAATGGTAGAAGTAATAGGACTAGTGACTAGTTGAATGGGAAGTTGAGGCTGGAGGGAATTGATTTAGTCTATCCAGTTGTCCAAGTTAGAAATCTTTGTTCATAGGAATGGGGAAGTTCAGGTAGGAATTTGTGGAAATCTATTTTATTAGTAATCTGAAGTTGAGAAAATATTCTAGTATGGAATGTTAAACAGTGGTTGTTTGGGGGAGGTAAGATTGTGAAGGGCAATTGTTCCTTTTTAATCTTCAGTTTCTAGAGTTTCTAAAATCAGCAGAAATAAAGACTTGGAATTCAGAAAGGAGTCGTCACTTTATAGGTAATAAAGGAAGAAGTGTCAAAGAAGAGAATGTTGAAAGAAATAGGTAGTCCAGGTAGGAATGCCAAAGAAGAGAATTTCAAGAACTGGGTGGTAATCCTTTTGTAAAACGCTTCATTGATAAAATGAGGAGAATGAAAACAGATGACTCCTAGGTGGTTGTCTTATAAAAGCTTCATCACCATTTCAAGAAGTAGTGGGCCTTTATCTCCAGTTTATTTAAAGGTTAAGCACCTGGCTGTGGTAATGACCTTACTGTGGACCAGAATTATTCCTTAATTTAAAACTACCATTAACACCAATTTATTTAAATTATCCATAAACAGACATATAATTACTCAGTATTAAGGTTTGTTTTTTGTTTTTAAGCATTGACTAATTTAATCCTCACATCCACGGTGGCATTGGTACTTTTGTTTTTAATTAATTTATTTATTTTTGCTGTGTTGGGTCTTCGTTTCTGTGCGAGGGCTTTCTCTAGTTGTGGCAAGCGGGGACCACTCTTCATCACGGTGCGCGGGCCTCTCACTATCGCGGCCTCTCTTGTTGCAGAGCATTGGCTCCAGACGCGCAGGCTCAATAGTTGTGGCTCACAGGCCTAGTTGCTTCGCAGCATGTGGGATCCTCCCAGACCAAGGCTCGAACCCGTGTCCCCTGCATTAGCAGGCAGATTCTCAACCACTATGCCTCCAGGGAAGCCCAAGGTTATTGTATTATTTGCTTTTTTTTGTTTGTTTCTTCCTACCTCCTCATCTGATTTTTTAAAAAATAATTTTAGTTTGGTACCACTTGTGCTGGGTTAGATAAAATAATGGGGATTGAAATTGTACAGCTCTTTCGTTACTATTCAGAAGGGTAAAAGATTAGATGCTACAACTTTCATTGCATTGATATGAATTGTAGAGATGGATTTAAAGTAGAAGTGCTTTTTGTTTAGCCTAATCTTTGTATTCTGAGTATTAGTTTACTATAGGAACATCCCGCCCCGGGGTGCTGGGGGGGTGGAGGTGGGGGGAAGCAAAGCTGTAAGGAAGCAAGACAGGGTGACTAGGGGAGGGCTATTGACAACCTGTCCTAGAGGATCCCAGTTTAGTCATTGAACTTCTCAGCAAGCCTAAGCTCAAAAGCCACTCCCTGCTCCTCCTGGCATCAGCTGAGCCATTGGCATTATTGGCACTGCCCACAGTGGCATCGCAGACCATTGTGAGAGAAAGCCATCATCTACTACGTGAACATTTTTAATGAGTAAATGCATGCGTAGCTGTCAAAAGTTGAGTTATATAAGGGCTTCCCTGGTGGCACAGTGGTTGAGAGTCCGCCTGCCGATGCAGAGGACACGGGTTCGTGCCCCGGTCCGGGAAGATCCCACATGCCACGGAGCGGCTGGGCCCATGAGCCATGGCCGCTGGGCCTGCGCGTCCGGAGCCTGTGCTCCGCAATGGGAGAGGCCACGAGAGTGAGAAGCCCGCGTACTGCAAAGAAAAAAAAAAAAAAGTTGAGTGATATAGATTGATTCACATATTTACAAACAGATAAATAACAATTGGGGGGTTATTGACAGTTAAACATGTTCTGATTGTACAGTGAATTATTCCATTTAAAACGAGTTCAACTAAGGAAACAGATTTGGTAATGCAGTAGAACCACAGATCTTGTTTTTATTTATTTTTTTACTTTAATTTTTATTGGAGCATAGTTGCTTTACAATGTTGTTTCTTGCTGTACAGCAAAGTGAATCAGTCACACATATACATATATCCACCCTTTTTTAGATTTCCTTTCCATTTATGTCACCACAGAGCACTGAGTAGAGTTCCCTGTGCCATACGGTAGGTTCTCATTAGTTATCTGTTTCATACATAGTAGTGTATATATGTCAGTCCCAGTCTTCCAATTCATCCCACCCTGCCCCTTCCCTCCTTGGTAACTATAAGTTTGTTCTCTACATCTGAGAACCACAGATTTTAAAAGAGCCTTTGTAAAAAACAGTAAAAGTAGTACATAATTAGGAATGAATAAAAATATTGAGGAGTAGGATTGGCCTTAAAAAATATCAATGAATAAGGCTTATAAGAAGTTTGTCACGTAAAGATAGACATGGATTGTTTTGATGAGTATTTTGATCAAAGACAGTTTAAGGTGGCAAGAAGGAAAGCAAAGCTAGGAACATTAAAAGAAAACTAAAGCCTCAGGTGAATGAGAAGATAACAGGGTAACTTGGCTAGGGGTGTGGAGACCTATGATCAGGAACTGTAAATGTCTTGATTGATTTTCAAAGTCAGGTGTGCGAACTTTGGAGGCTGCTCTCCATCCCCAGCAAAAATCCAGGAGCAAACAAATAAAAAATAAGATGTTTCAATAAGGAGATTTGACAGAGTATCTCTTGATAACATAGTGGTCAGTATGGAATATAGATTGGATTATAAGCATTAAAAGGCTTTGACTAATGGACTGATTTTCAGAGAGGTCTCCATATGTGTGCTGCCAGATTCTATTCTTGCTCTACTTTTTAAAAAGATTTAGTAGTAAGTAGTTATGTGTGTGCTTTGTAATAAGCGCCACTCCAGGCTTTTTGTATGAAGTAACCCTAACCATCCCCACAACCCTGTGAGGTGGGTATTAAGGAAGGACATAGAATGCTTAAAAGACAGATTACAAAGGCTAATGATTTAAAATTATCCCTCTACGTTGGAATTCCAGGTTAACTAAGAAATTTAAAAGCATTAGATTAGTTTTTTCTTTAGTAACAAATGATCAGTTATACAAGTACTAAAAGGAGAAAATATGATTTTGCTAATTTATTAAGGAGTAATAGAGGTTTTTTTTGTTTGTTTGTTTTAGTTATATAAAGTTACTCAAACTTTAGTCTGCAGAATCAAGAAACATAATCACTCAGTGCTCTCTATATATTGGTCAGGGTACAGTAAGAATAGTAGTGAAATGTACTTCAGTGAATAATAATTTGAAACATATCCAGAAGACAGCAGTTAGTCTGAAAAACAGTTGCATTCTGAAAACTGAAAGGAGCAAAGGAAGTTAAGGGGAAGTATGTTTAGATTAAGAAAACAGTCATTTTCTAAAACTGTCATACAGTGAAATAGGTTACCTTTTCTAAACTAATTCCTTTTCAGTGGGAGCCAAGCAGACTAGGTTAGGAAAAGGCGGGGGTGGGGGGGAACAGCTCAGAGATGTTGCAAGAAGAAATGACGGAGCACAGAATTTTGATTTTTTTTCCCCCCACCTCCCAAGGGAATTTGGAAATCACTTAGGCCATCAGTTTACATCTGCAGAAACAATCCCAGAGAAGTTTTAAAAAGTATGAGAAGCAAGACTAAAAGCCAGTCTTTTGATTCTAGTTCTGTGTTCTTTAGGGAACTTTAGTTGATTTCTTGAATTAGAAGTGAAGTTTAGATTTCACCTGTGATTCTTTCCAGTTCTCCTTTTAAAAAAAAAAAATCATTGTTAATGATTTTTTTTTTAATTTTTTGGGCCACGTTTGGGTCTTCATTGCTGCGTGTGAGCTTTCTCTAGTTATGGCGAGCAGCAAGCAGGGGCTCCTCTTCGTTGCAGCGCGAGGGCTTCTCGATGTGATGGCTTCTCATTGCGGAGCATGGGCTCTAGGCCTGAGGGCTTAGTAGTGGCGGCTCACGGGCTTAGTTGCTCCATGGCATGTGGGAATCTTCTCGGACTAGAGATCGAACCCGTGACCCCGGCATTGGCAGACGGATTCTTAACCACTGCGCCACCAGGGAAGTCCCGTTAATGACTTCTGATTAAAAACAAATACATAGAAAAGAGTAGAAAGTCTAAACTTGGTGTTGAGGGTATTCGTCTGCTGTGTTCACTACTATACATGTAGGACCTAGAACAGTGCTGATGCATTGTAGGCATTCGAGTTCTGGTTTAGCGTATAAAGCAGTGGTTAAGAATGTGAGCCGTGGAGTGAGTACTGAGTTCTGTTCCCATTTACCAGTTTTAGCTCTGTGCACTTAGAACACCATCTAAGTGTTACATTGTCTGTGAGTATTGAAGTAGACTTTCCTGGTCTTTCCTTTTTAAAATACAGTTGAAATCATATTATAGAAATATTTTTGTCATTATATAGATGACTATGAAACTTAAGATTGTTTCCGGGAATTTGTTATTAAAACATTTTAATGAACACATTTGTGCATAAAGCCTTGTCCACATTTCACGTTTCCCCATGATAAGTTTACTGCAGTGGAATTATTAAGGAAAGCACCTCCACATTTTGGTACATGTGGTTAAACTGTATTTCACAAAGGTTGCACCAGTTTGCCACCATGAAAATATATTAGCGTGTTGTTCTTAACCTACTTTCTCAATTTTTTTAATCTTTTATCTTTGATAGTCTGATAAATGAATAATTTGTTTTATCTAAATTTTTGCTAGAATTGGAGTTCATATGTTTTGTGTTTAATGAATGATCTTTTAAGACTTATTTGTCTTAATGTCTTTCCATAATTCAGCAAATGAGTGCTTACTATGTGCCAAGCACTGTCTAACACTAGGGATTTATCTTTGAGCAAAAAGCCCCTGCTCTCATAGAGCTTATATTCTGGTAGTTTAATTCTTACTGATTTGCTTAAATTCCTTAATGATACACTCATATATTTACATTTGCGTTTGTTCTCTTTAGGTTTGAGTATAAAAGCTTATACTTTTTATGTAAATCAAATATTGATCCTTTCCCTTGGCGTTTTTTTCTATTGACTTTAAACCTAGAAAGTCCCCACTTCCAAAAACTTTATAGATGCATACATTTTTATTTAATATTTGTTAAGGCATTTAACACAGTTCATCTAGAATATATTTTTTGTATGCTGTGAGATGAGCAACTAAATTGATTTTTCCCCTGTTTAAAAAAAAGCCAAATAACATTTACATACTCGTCCACCACCACCCCCCTTTTTTTGATGTTGTCTTTATGTTAATTTTTTATAAACCAGCATCTGTTGTTGAGCTGTCTACTTTTTCCATTGGATTTCTCTTTTTACGTAATTGTTTGGTGGTTTTGTTTGTTTTGTTTTTTAAGGAACATCACTTTTGTTTAGTGGTGCTGCTTTAAAGTTTTGATGGTGCTGGTTTTAAAAAAATTTAGCTGAACTATTAGGAATTCTTTTAAGGGTTAACATACTGTCTTATCTAAAGTTGCTTGAGTGATATATGGGTTTCCCTTTTTAAAAAGTAGCCCTAAAATTAGATAAAGGCTAGAGAAAAATACTTAAGTCAGGAAAGGTGCTAGGAGAAAGGAGAGGTTCTGGTTCAATTCTGTTTTGATGTGCACATCTAAAGGTGAGATGAGATGAGCAATATAGCCTAAATTCCAGTGTGCTTGTTGGGGAATAGTTTAGTCTTAGAAAGAAATGATAGCTCTAATCCCTTCTCATTCTGGTTCATTTTCCCTTAGGGTGAGAAAAACATGAGTCTTACCTCTTACCTTCATCTAGGACTACTAGGACTGGAGACTTGGGAATGTGGGTTTTGCAGCTTCCTGGCCTATGTATTACAGATCGTATCATTGCGTTCTTACTTGTATGGCGATAAGAACTAGTCTAAACATGAAAAAAGCACAGCTTGAAAGTCATGGTCTAAGTCAGTGATGGTGGAATAGTGGTCTTCAAATCAATTTGATCATACTGTTTAACGAGCATGTATGTCAGTATGGACGTGTATATATTTATAAATCGTGTGATTACACTGCTCCATTTGCATTGTGAAGCAGTGGTACAAATAGGACAAAGGTGAAATAAGCAATATTGTGAAAATAGTGTACCTTTTAACAGTGTAGAAACTTTTCAACCCCACTAGAAATATATATATCTGGATGCTTAGTTTATAAGTGTTTAATTTAAAAACTTTATACTATCATGAATTAATATCTGAGGGACAGTATGCATTTTACGTTTTATTGATACTGGTATAAGTCTGTATCATAGTCTTGATCTTAATGTTTTGTCAGACTTGTCAGATCTCATTAGATGGTCATTTATTTCATAATTTGGAGGTACAAGAACTAATACTAGGATTAGAAGTGCTGGCTCCCAGTTCTGCCTTTGCTTGCTTTATTAGCATTATCTTCTAAGATTCTTCTGTGGGAATCTTTTTCAACAGTTTGTCTATTTGTGAGGACAGTTTAGTTAAACTAGATAGCTAAATATGTACACTTAATAGGAGAGATGTAAACTTTAATATGCTGAAAGTAAATAAACGAGGGCTTCATTGTCAATCTCTTGTGAGGTTCTCCCCTCTTTCCTCAGAGTACTTAAGTAATGTATGACATGTGATACGACCTGACATATCAACTCAGTAAGGCCTCTTCTATAAATACATAATAACCATTTGTAAAAGCTAGTTTTTATCTCTGGCCAAATATATATATTCTAGTTCAGATATTTTCTTCCTACACCCCATTAGAATATCCTGTGTGTACCCTACTTGAGGGAGACAAGTGATTGAGAATATTGGATTCTGTTTAAAGTTGTGGGACATTGAGAAGAAGTTGGTCTCAGTTGTCTTGCTGTAGCAACCACCAGAGTCTTTATGGCATTTTTAAAATTGTAAATGTTATGGATTAGGGATTAAGTAAGTGCTTTAAAAAATACATTTCAGTTTGACCATTTAATGTTAATGCTATAATTTATTTTGTTGATATAAATCTGATTAAATGAATTATATTTTGCTAAAGTAACTTAGTGATAAATGTAAAGATATACAGGTTGACTCTCAAATGTGTGTTAAATTGTTATTGATCATAGTTGTAAACATTGTGCTATGTTATCACAGCTGTTTGAGATGGAGAACGTTTTTACTGTGTCATCAGATCCTCATCCCCCTCCTACAGCCCCTCCACTTTCTTTACCTTTATCTTCATCTTCTACCTCATCTGCGACTAAAAAACAAAAGAGGACCCCCACGTATCAGAGATCTGTAAGTCAGGGAAGCAATCATCCCAGCTTTTTTCTTTGTGTTAAGAGCATGACTAAGAAGGGCCACTCAGTTTGATTGAAATACCCTGCAAACTCACTTTCTAACTTCCCTAAGTATTTCCTTCACCTTGAATCTTGAAAGGTAAGTTTAGTAGTTTAGGCCTTGCTACTCAAAGTGTGTTCAAGAATCAGAAGTATTGGTATCACCTTGGGAGCTTGTTAGAAGTGGAGAATCTCAGACCCCTGCCGCTGAATCAGATTTTGTGTTTTAACCAGATCACTGGGTAACTTCAGTTTGAGAAGCCCTAGTTTCAAGTCAGTATTGTAGAGGTAGACCTTCTTGGTTCAGCTCCTCTGTCATTTGACTTTGGCAAGTCATTTAATCTCAATGTCTGTTTCGTCACTGGTAAAATTGGGACAATATTCCTCATGGGCTTTTGTAAAAATTAAATGAGTTAGTACACATCCAACACAAAAGTGCCTAGCATGAATGAATTAGAACTTAACCACCTACAGATGTGATGGCTTTGATTTGCATGATTTGGCTATCCCACCCAGTGTTTACTTAAAACTTGGGTTTATCTTTCTAGAATTTCAGTCATCTTTTTTTTCCTGATGAAAATTTTTTTTACTTGCCCAACGTCAAACTTAAATGAAAATGTTTATAAGTCAAATTTTCAATGAAAGGGTCTAAAACTAGGTATAAAGATGTGGATATGTTGCTATAGTAAATCAATTATAGACCTAACCTTTCCTAGGGATTTTGTCCTATTTCATGCTTCACTTAAATAAAATGAAATATTCAATGTGATAGACAGTATCTGATGATTAAATTAGGTCCCAGTGCATTGCATTTAAATAGCCCTTCTGTTCACTAAAGAATGTTTTATTTTGCTTTATCTGACCATAGAAACAAATGACAGTATTTAGAGATTTCAGTGTCTGAAACAGGTGAAAAGATTTCTTTAATTGTACCTGTAAAGTGATTGAAGATTTTTAGGATTGAAGAGCTTTTGTTGTCTTGGAGTTCTTAGAAAACTCTTGCTTTCTAACTCATTATTTTGAGTCATCTTCCATTAAAGGACCTGAGCATGCATGTATTTTCTAGTTTGAAATAAGTATTGCATGGAAAGTTTCTTTTATTGTTTTAATCTCTACTAAAATAATTGCCTTCAAGATGCACGGCTTACCAAATAGCATCAAGGTTTCTATTTATGTTTCAAAATAAGTATTAATAAATTTAATGAAATGTCCTGGTAGTTTGGGTTTCCATCTCTTGAATAGTAGTTACCTTTGTTCTGATACTGTTGTTTTAGTAATTTAAAGTTAATGTAAAGGCAGCTTTTACTTATATAGTTACTTTATCTTAATATTTAAACTCCAGAAATTCTATTTGTTTGGTAAGTGAAAATTCTACCATGAATTGGGGCATTTCCCCAAAAATAATTTGAATTACTTCCTCTGAAATGTTTTATTAGCTAAATTAACATTTCAGTAATAAAAACATATAATCTTCCCTTTATTTGTTTTAGCTTTATTTGCCTTTTTATGTTAAAAATTCAGTGATTTTTGTTTTTTTGGGTTTTTTTTTTAACATCTTTATTGGGGTATAATTGCTTTACAATGGTGTGTTAGTTTCTGCTTTATAACAAAGTGAATCAGTTATACGAAAATTCAGTGATTTTTGTTTTTTTGGGTTTTTTTTTTAACATCTTTATTGGGGTATAATTGCTTTACAATGGTGTGTTAGTTTCTGCTTTATAACAAAGTGAATCAGTTATACGAAAATTCAGTGATTTGTTAATCAGACTTATTAGTAAGCTATGGAGGTAATATACAGATCTATATGTATTGAGTTCTTTCTCTTTTTAAAACAGATGAGCTTTGATCCAAATCTTCTCCACAACAATGGGCATAATGGGTACCCCAATGGTACTTCAGCAGCACTTCGTGAAACTGGGGTTATTGAAAAACTGCTAACCTCTTATGGATTTATTCAGTGTTCAGAACGTCAAGCTAGACTTTTCTTCCACTGTTCACAGTATAATGGCAACCTGCAGGACTTAAAAGTAGGAGGTAATCTGTTGGTTCTCCTTTTTATAAAACTAATCACAAATTTATCTTGCATATCAACTTATTCATGACAGTGTTATGCTTTTGGCCTTTTAATTGTACCAGTTACTGAAGTTTGTTTATATAAATTAGCAGAATCCTGATTTCTGTTGTGGTAGTCTTTTTGAGGGATGAAAGAGTAATTGATTAAAATATATCTTTGAATATTTTTTAAATAGACACTTGGTATATTTAATTGTTATTCCCCCAATAATGACTGTTTGGCTATATATTAGATTTTAAGCCAGTGAAAATATTAAACTTTATGTTAGTTTTAATTATTTTGCCAGGTACTAGTTTGAGTAGTACCTGAAAGAAATAACTCTTACAATGTCACCATTTGGAGTATGTGGAAATTCATTTTGGCTGACAATATAGAAATTACTTTCACATGTGAAAATGTGTGGCTTATTAAAGGACTGACGTTACAAGGTCTCAGTGTGTGTTTTTTTAAAATATCTTTGAGAAAAAAGAACAATAGTTACATGAATATTTGGCATACCAAATACTCTAAACTGTACAAAAGTGTTATTTTGGTTAATCCTCATTTTACAGTTGAAGAAACTCAGGGTATAGAGGGATTTTGGGGGTGAGGGGGGAAGCTTGCCAAATCTCATCATTACATTGCATCAGCTGTAGTATGTGTAGGTGCCATGAAAACTAAGATATGGCTAGCTTAGGCTAAAGCAGTGGTTCTGAAACATTAGTGTGTATCAGAATTACCTACAAGGCTTGTTAAAATGCAGATTACTGTACGTGATGCCCAGAATTTGTTTTTGGAGTGGGTCTGGAGTAGGGCCTGGGAATTTGTATTTCTGCTACACTCCAGGTGATGCTGCTGCTGATCCAGGGACCACACTTTAAGAATCACCAGTCTAAGGAAACTCAAATACCTCATTAAGTTGAGCTTGAAAGTGAGGTACCATTTGGCCAAAATTAGCCCACCAAACACAACGCTCTCTTTGTTTTAGATGATGTTGAATTTGAAGTATCATCTGACCGGCGGACTGGGAAGCCCATTGCTGTTAAACTGGTGAAGATAAAACAAGAAATCCTCCCTGAAGAACGAATTAATGGACAAGTTAGTGACTTAGATGCTTTATGTTTTCTTAGGGCCCTGCATTTGCATATCTTTCACATTAGAAAAGGAAGATTCTCCCCATCTCCTCAGTTTGCACGCAAGAGAGCTATAGTATATAAAAGTTACTATTTTAAAATTATATCAGAAGCACTGGCATTTCTTGACCTGAAATAAAAATTTGGTCAAGACTCAATTTGGGTTTTTACATATAACCCTAAGTCTATACTTACAGTCAGCTTATGTACTGTAAGTTTGAAACTTGGCAGCATGACATCCTCTTGTGGATCATATTAAAATGTATCCCTTTGTATAGTATAGAGGATATTAAAATTCAGTTTATATTGCACAGTGCTGCTCCTGAAATGATTAGCAATGGAAATTTTTTTTTTTTTGACTGGTAGGTTGTGTGCGCTGTTCCTCACAACTTAGAGAGTAAATCTCCAGCTGCCCCGGGTCAGAGTCCAACAGGGAGTGTATGCTACGAACGTAATGGGGTAAACTTGTGTATTTTTCTTAAACCTTTGCCTGATCCACCATGTGATCTATAAGCGTACTTTAAAATTCAAAATAGAAAACGTAAGCTGCAGTTGATAAAAATCAGTTTAAAATTTGGTCTTGAAGAGGCTTCGAGTGCAGCATTATCAAAAAATCTAAAAAGAAAAAAATCCATAGGACTTCCAAGTGTCTTAGCTTGCCCAAGTGTGACCTTAGTTAGAACATTAAGGTAAAATGCTTCTTTTACTTGCGTTTTTTGGGGGTTGTGGGAGGGGATCTTTTTTCTGGTTCCTTTTAAGCACTAACTCAGCTTTTTTGTTTGGAATGCCTTACATAAAAATTGTTTTTTTTGAAATGTAACTACAGCCTCTGGGCAAATGCTTCCACGTGTGTAAGCTTTTTGAAGTTGGATTGCTGCTCAGCTGTGGACTCGCAGAAGTCATCAGCACCTTGGAGGGGAAGTGTGTTTATGTGAATAAACTATGTACTTGTCAAAAGGCATTTAATTTTAAGAAATTTGGCTTTAAATGCCAGTTTAAGAAGTATTTAACAAAGTAAATCACAGTATACACTGAACATGCATCCTGCCAGTATAGTAATAATACCTTATTAATTCACAGGAAGTGTTTTATCTGACTTACACCCCTGAAGATGTTGAAGGGAACGTTCAGCTGGAAACTGGAGATAAAATAAACTTTGTAATTGATAACAATAAACAGTAAGTTCTTTTTTCCCACCTAAGTGGTTTGGTTTTTTTTTTTTTTTTTTTTTTTTTTTTTTTTTTATAAAAAGGTTGGTTTTTTTTTTTTTTTTTTTTTTTTTTCCTTTTACAATAAGAAATTTGAAGCAAGTCAAAAACCTAACTTGTAAATCTGGATAATTTTCATGATCTTTTAAATTTTTATTCATCAGCTAAGCATTTGAGCGTCAGTTCTATGACAGGCACTATGCAGGGTGTCAGAGATAGGAGGATAATTAAAACATGGTCAGAACTTTCAAGGAACTATTCTAGAGATCAGTGAAGGTTTTGCCATAGCACCAGTGCTTGAGGTAAGGTTTAAGACGAGGAAGTCACTAGGGAGATGAGAAAAACATTCTGGATAGAGGAAGTACCATGGGGGAAGAGGCCAGAAGTTGGAGTTGATTTAATTGACTGGATCATGGAAAGATGAAGTTTGAACTTTATTCATTCATCAGAGGTGTCTGAAGGATTTTAAATGGGGAAGTGTGATTGGTTTCTATTGTTGGAAGTGGTGGAGATGGTAGGCTTTTGGAGAGTAGGGATGCTATAGAATAGAGGCAGAGTTATGAAAATTAATATGAAAGATGAGGGTCTAGTATAGATAGGCCAGGGGTGTTTGGGTATAAAAGTCAAGTCACATTGAGAAGATAAAATCACCAAATTTTATAACTTTTTAGATAGGGGTGTGTATTAGAACTAAGGGAAGGGGAGTCCCAAATGCCATTTTTTTTGGCTTGGGCTACTGGGCAGATAATACCATTAACTGGACTAAGGAGGTACCGCAGAAAGTATTAAGGGTGGGAGAAGAATTGTGCTTATTTTGGCATTTTGAATTTGAGCTGTCTTTGGGGGAAGATATTAATATGTAGTTGCATATATAGATCTGAACAAGCTAGTTATGGACAGGAGATAGAGCTGTTGAATTCATGGGCATAAGCAATTAAGGAAAGTGTAGTTAAGAAAGCCCAGGGATGGTGATTTTTATTTTGGAGTGGGAGAAACAGATACAAGTACAGAAAGAAGTTAAAAACAGGAGAAATTGCTGGGAATGGACTTTGAATGGCAGTACAGAAAGAAAAGTCCCAAGAGTGCAGAATTATTAGCCTTGAACCTTACGTCTTGTAAGACTAGAAGGAATCGGATTGAGTTGTAGATTGATATTAGTGGTGCTAGTCTGAGGCCTCAATTTAATGTCAAGTTAGGAAACTTGGGAATAGGGCTTGAGTTTGAGGTGGATGGGGAGCCAGTGAAAGGGCTTTATTTAATCTTAATAAGTTCTTGAATGTGCTAAGAACTTGTACTAAATATTTTATGTACAGTTGTTAATCCTCAGAACAGCCTCATCTGGTAAGTTTCTTCATCTGTAAAATGAGGTATGTTCTCATAAAGTAACTTGCCTAAAGTCATACAGCTTTTAAATTGACGTTTGAATCCCAGTCTGGCTCTAAATAAAGCCTTTTCATTGTAGTAAGTTGCAAGAGCAAATAGGATTTTTCCAGTGTCTTTGTTAGTCTGTTAAATTTTTGAAATAAAAAAAGCACAATTGGGCGACAATTTGTCCATGAAGAATTAAGGGAAGTAACTAGTTGGTCTGCAGATCTTATAAACAACACCAACAAATACTATTGCATCTTACACTGTATGTGCCATCTTTAAAACGAAATCTGATTTACATTGCTGCTGCAGCAACATATGATGTCTGTTTTCAATGGAGGTGAACATCACTTTTTTAAAAATTTATTTATTTATTTATGGCTGTGTTGGGTCTTCGTTGCAGTGGCGGGCTTCTCATTGTGGTGGCTTCTCGTTGCAGAGCACAGGCTCTAGGCTCTCGGGCTTCAGTAGTTGCAGCACACGGGCTTAGTTGCTCTATGGCATGTGGGATCTTCCCGGACCAGGGCTCGAACCCCTGTCCCCTGCATTGGCAGGCGGATTCTTAACCACTGGGCCACCAAGGAAGTCCTGAACTTTTCTAAAGCATAGCAAATATCTCCTATAATCACTGCATTTACTCATGTTTCTTTTATGACTGTTTAATCAGAAATAATTGATGGGATAGCTACTAAATTCAGTATTCATTGCAAACAGGACCATCTCATTTATCTCTTTATTCCCTGTACCTTTGTTTGCAGTACGTAATACCTACTTAGTATTTGTTCACATAATGGCCTTTCTAAAACTTTAGCGTTCCCCATCTGGTTGCAACCAATTTGTGGCCTTATTTCAGCAGTCTGAGAGAGAAACAATGCCATATATGTGTGCCCAATTTAAAAGGCTAGGGAGTTTGCGCAAAAGTCCTTTGCATGTGAAGCCATATGAAAAGGATTATGTATTATAAAACCTTATATTAGTGATGATACAGAATTCCTGAGGCCTCAGAAAACTAGTTTGTTTCTCTAAACTCATGTCTAACCAAGCCAATGCATTTTTCACCCCTCTTTGGTCCCCACCGTCCCCACCCGATTCTTTTGTTCTAGTACTGGTGCTGTAAGTGCTCGTAATATTATGCTGTTGAAAAAGAAACAAGCTCGCTGTCAGGGAGTAGTTTGTGCCATGAAGGTAAGTGTCGATCAGATTTGAGAAACTTTAGTTTTTTCTTTGACCGCTTTAAGTCTTTCAAACCCAAGCCTTTTGTTTTTACTCTTTATATTTCCTTTAAAAATACTTAATTGTTAACGTCAGAAGTAATCTCTTAAAATTCCTTGGTTACAAATTATGTTCTTTAAAATGGGCCATTTAATTGATATTAATATTAGACTTTACCAAGTAAATATTGTTTCCACTAGAGTATAGTTTTGCGAAAAGGCTTATTGATTGTAAATTGTAATCATAAATATGTGCACTGAATAGTA